CACCCAGCGGTCAAAAGTATTGCAGAAACGGAGAAGTTACTTTAATGAATAAAGGCATTTATAAATTACATTTCATTACTCATTTTATATTTTAATGTCGTAAAAATTAAAAATTGTAATTAATAACAATACAAATATTAAATTTTTGATTCTTCAAAATGGCCTCTCTTCAATATTGCTGCATCTATCCTTGACATTCTTGATAATTTTTTTAAATTCTTACTGATATTTGATTATAACATGTTACAAAAATATTCCCACAATTGTAGACAGAAGAAATAGATAATATATTTACGTATATTATTAAAGAGATCCCTCAAATACCTTTTTATCGACAAAAACGCCATAATTTTCGGAAGTGTGTCATTTTTGATTGCCAGTACAAAATTAAAAATCTTTCTCCAGAATTGAAGTATACAAACGGACACGTGAAAACTCTATACAGTATGAGATTTTATATTGAGAAAAAGAATAAGTATAAAATTACATTTTTATTTATCGACTTCTTAAGAGAATCCTAAAGTCGTCTGTTTTATCGACAAAAACGCCGTAATTTTCGGAAGTGTATTTTTTATTGCCTGTATAAAATTAAAAATCTTTCTCCAGAATTAAAGTATACAAACGGACACGTAAAAACTCTATACAGTATGAGATTTTATATTGAGAAAAAGAATAAGTATAAAGGATCATTAGAAATAAATTTCATTTCCCAATATATACTTGAAAAGGACCACAATCGTATGGTCGAAACCTAACCGAAACGTCGTAATTAATAAACAAAAATTCTGGATAGTTTTGGTCGATTACATTATTTCCAATGATCCTTTGATTAATTGACTAGCGATATCAAGATAATTTATTAATAAGTATAAAATTACATTTTTATTTATCGACTTCTTAAATCAACATGAATTGTCAACTTGTACAAATATTAGCTTCTTATAAAAGTTTTATAGCTTTTATGTATAAAACAATAGTTTTCACGATTGTGTACTGCACCATAGAACATTGTCGAACTATAAAAACTGAATTTAATTGCCTAATTAATACATGGCATTTTTCCGAAAATTTCAATCCGTACCTGAAATATCGATAAAGTAGAGTGGAAAAAGCAGTGCATCTTCTTTATAAATAACGTGATAGAGAGAGGATGAGGATTAAATGAGGGCGCTGTAATCGTGTAAGAGTTTGCCGTTCAATGAAGGATCCCCTTAACCTTAACATATGGAAACTGTTTAAAATGCATTAAAACCGTTTAGAACTACATTAAAATAATGCATCAACATAACACGTTTTAATATAATAATATCAAAACAAGTATTATAATAATTGCATATTGATTAATTTCAGAAATCGAATAATAAATAACACATACCTTTCATATTTTATAAACATGAATCAAACAATTAAGAGAAAAAAGTGAAAAATTTAATCGTTTAATGTTCTCTTTATCTCTTCTTTCTCTGTACTTTTTGAGTGGTGATGCAATATTGTCGACTAATATTGCATATAATTTGTATACGCGTCTCTAATACTACGCATGACAAGAGCGCGGAGATGAAATTCCACGATAGGAGCAATTGGATTTAATTAACGTTCGCGGTCTCTTTTCGAACGAGCGGAGCGATGAATGCAGCGTCAAATGTTCGAAAGTTAAATATATAACACGCGGAGATAAAAGCTTATACTTTCGCATTATTGTCCGGCACGACTCCGAATTGATATCCGTCAATTTGCCTCGATTCTGCGGTTGTGAATATTTATTTGAGACGACATAAAGCCATGATATCCGCAATATCCCGTCCGCGGATACTTTAAATTCGTCGCCACGGGAGAGGATCATCGGACGTCCATCGATCCGCCTCTTGTCGATATGAATATCTATTAGACGTAATTGATGTCTCCCATCCGGCGTAGCGAATGCCGCAGTAAATATCAAAACGGTCTTGTCCGCTCTGACTGATCGGCGTTGTGAAAATGCTCTGATCGCGATAGACGAGCTGCCAGCTGGATTGTCTCCTGGAAAAATTTCGCTGTCGTTGGAACCAATGGAATATCGAACCGCTTTTAGTTTCCGCGCCAGCTACACACAGAGTGTGTATTGGAAAGAAATAGACGGAAAATAAAACGCTTGGATTTTTCCGCTCTACGTCATTTTAGATCTGATTGCTTTAATTCCGATCGCGAAATTTCCAGTCGCGCAACGAGAGCTTGTTTCCATTCGCTCGTAATTTATTTGTACTGTACCGCTTGACGAGAAACACATTCTTTTGAGAAAATGTACAAGTATAGTTAACTGTGAGAACGTACGCTGGAAAAGCTAACGAGTTCCCTCTGACCGCGTATTCGCAGTTAATTAGAGTGCTATAGTGCGGTAAAAAAAAAAAAGAAATGCAAGAGGGATATAAAAGCTATCGGCAAAGATACTTAACAAGCAAAAGGAAGTTTCAACGTCGGGTCGACAGCAAGATTTAGATGCGGTAATAAGTTAAAGGGATGGTAAAAGAGAGCGGAGAGAAACTGACGACAGGGGGAGGAAGAAGGTCTGCAAAGTTTGCGGGAGTGATAGGAGGACAGTAACGCATTTAATGAAAGAGTACGTTTCCGGGCAATGAGAAGAGGAAGGAAAAAAAAAAGGAAAGGATGTCGGACACTCGACGAGTTAGATTGGACGGAAAAAGTAATGAGAAAAAGAGGTAGAAAGGGAGAGAAGGGGAGAAAGTGAAATACGGAGGAGAGAGTACAGGAATATATGGCGACGCGATCAAATTTAAGAGATGGCGGGAAGACAGTACAGCGTGGAAATAATTGGGCGGTAAGATTTAATGCGCCGGTGCGCACTAATGTTTCTCGGGATGTTAATGAGAGAGCATTAAGCACGACTCCTGTTTGTACCGAATGCATTTCGCGATAATTTTATGCGCGATTAAAAATTTCATGCGTTACTCGTGTGACATTAAATATTTTAAAAGAGAATTATTCGATATATTCGACACGATCTGAATGTAAAGTTTTAAAACTAATTTTATAAGATGTGCCCAAACAGCGCCTATCTTTCGCCACTTGAAGTCTCTCGTATTGATCTTTAACTACGTCTCTATTAAGTTTTATCAGTATTGATTCAGTGCAGTTTATATTTGAACCTGTTTTGTGCGTGTTTGTTTTGTCTTGTATGAAAGCGTTTATTAAGGATGTTTTGTATCTATATTCAAAATATTGAGAATTTAATGAAAATTGTACAGAATGTCCTTACATATGTTTAGAATCTTCAGTACAATTTTTAAATCGATTCACTAAAGCATTCAGCACAAGTTGTAAGGATTTTAATTTGCACCGAATTAATATGTGTTTTTATGGAAAACGTATAACCACGTCGATTCAAATGACAAAAACACATGGAAATAATATTCAAAATTTGTTTAAAATTTGCAAAACTTTAGATGCAGAGGAAATATTTGGTCAAATAATATTATACCAGTATTAACTGGTTAAAAAGATATTAAATATAATTTAATGAAGTTAGCCATATATCTGTCACAAGGCAAAATTTTTTGCCAAATGTTAATCATTTCGATTAACAAAATTCGAAATATTACAGTAAAAACGCAATAAATATTAAAAAATACATCTCTGCACTGTAGCTAAGATCAAATTGTAATATTTCACACAATTTCTCATACTCAAAATACACCAAAAGTGGATATTCGTCAATATTGATTTTCAGCTACTTTTTGCTGGGATTGTACATACAAAACATCCTTAAGCAACAATAAATATACGATCAGGTTTTGTGAAAAATTGGATGAAATTATTATAGAAACAAGTCAAATGATAAAAAAGTGCAGAGTGGATTGTAAAAAATTCACTAAGAGCGAAGATAGTCCGATTCTAAATGTCAAGAATGAAAACAATACCCATTGTTTTCTTTGATGTAAAAGGCGTGATTAACAAAGAATTGTTTCATGTTGCACAAGGGATAATAATTAATTGAATCGTATAAGATAGAAATGTTATATAATACAATACAATTTTAATTTAATTTTAATGTGATACAATTCTAATCTTTATATATTATTATTATTATTGTATATAAAACCAGCTTCAATAAACCAACAAATTATTAAAATAAAAAATAATATTAATTTATATGATTGCCAGAGAAATATTTCCAGTAAAGAATTCTTTTTAGCATTATTATTTCGACCATAATTATTTTCGATTATTTCGATTATTAGCTAATGAAATATTTAACTGGATGCATGTGCACACAGCTCTTGACCGAAATTGATTCACATTTCGCATATGAATCGCAGTACGAGAGATTAATTCATCTCCAAGATATTATCCTGTACACACATATAGTATTCAAATATTCGTGTTATCATTTCTATTACCGTATAACTACCCCTCGTTCCCTCTGTAAATAGCGAGAAATGACCTATGCGAGGAATTGCGATCGATTCCCGTGTCGAGATATCGTCGTTTAACTCCATTTTATAGCGATTCATCAAAACTCAAATGCAAGGAGAAGATGAAAGAGCCCGTTTTTTTGCCTCTCTTTTTTTTTTCGCGCGCGAAAGATACGTCTTCACTTTGCATGAAAAATTCGAATTTTAGAATAATAAAAAAAATGACACGTTGTCACGAATAATCGATGTTACTCCGCTCGCTCGGTATCGCTCGCGGAGAAAAATTCTGGCTCCCCCGCAGGGTCAATCCGGCAATAAATCTCTCCTTTTGCCGCGCGCGCCGCGGAAACAGCGACGTACCGCGAATCACGATCCGCCATTTACAACGGGCCGAATCCGTGTCCGAACAGGCTCTACTACGTGTCCGTTCCACCTGCAGGGATACCCAAATCCTGCCGGGGATGGTTCATCGCTCGATACCCCCTCCACCCCTCCCCCCGCCTCCCACCCCTGCTCCCCCTTCTCCTTCTCGTCCTCCTGCTTCTCCTCGCCATCCCCTCCCTCTCCAGCAAGAAGAATCGATACACATACCTGAAGTATTCCGCGTATCTGTCCGCTCTTGGTCTCGACGATGCGCGAGGCGTAACGGGTCACAGGTTGAGAGGAAGCCGCGCGACCGCGACCGGTCAGAGTTAACAGGACGAGCAGCAGCACGAGTCCCACGCGCGGATAGCAGCGGCTCCGTAATCTGATCTGGGTCCACGAATGACAGTGAGTTGCGACCAGCGGCCAGATGCGGGCCGCCGGCTGGCATGGCAGCGGCATGACAGCATTTGCTGGCGGCCACCTGAAGCGACGCCACTAGCATAACCGTACGGCGACCTTGGTCGTCGGTATCGGACAGGGTGGCCGGGCAACCGGTCGGAATCGGCCGGGGGACGAGGGCCGTTCTTCTGTCCGAGGGGCTTTCCCTAATTCGTTCGCGACGAATGGAACACGAACTTTGCCAGGCCGGGGTCCCGCATCACGGTAGTCACTTTCCTTCCGCGCGTTTTATCTCGAGGAGAGCCTCGATGTTCCTCCCCACGCCTCCGGCGTGCTGAAACTGCCACTCTTCGGCCGGAGTCCAAGTTAAATTACTCTCAAAACATGTTGAATAAGAAAGTTGGGAAACGGCCGGGCCTCCATTACTGCAGCAGTCTCGGGACGTCTCTGCAAACAAGCGAGAATTCGATATAGCAAAACATTCGCAAGGGCTCTGCCAGTTTAGTTTCGGTAATAAGAAAATTTTTGCGCGCTCGTCAAAGAGACGAGGGAGATAAATTAGAATTACAATTTATTTTTTAAATTTCACGGGCTAATAAGCGCCAGACGCAAGATGGCAGTACGTCAGTTTCAAAGAAAATTAATGTTTTCCTTTGAAACTGATTAATTGTGCACGAGGCATGAATTTTTGTTGCTTGCTTCAAGTATAAATAAATCTCAATTTGAAATCTAATTTTGATAAACCTCTCTTATCCCTCTGAAGAAGCGTAAGCGAGAAAAATATCGAGACGAAGTCGCTGAATCAAGACTCAAACTCGAGTTTTTTTATCGAACGACTACTCTGACTTATTTAGACATTTTACACCTCGATGCTTCTCATTTTCTACAAATATACAAGATGTCCCATAATAAGGAACCCATTTTGTCCTACTTATTATAAAACATCCTGTATATCAATAATAACACTATCTTTAATTTAAATGAATTAACAATTAAGTGATTAATAAACCTAACCTCCCATGTGAATCACAACTTTTTTAAAATTTCGCGGTTTAATAAGAGACAGACGCACACTGAGAAAAAAATCTGGTTGCATTAATTAGAATTCTGGTAGATTCAACCAGTATGTCTGTTAGAAAATGGACGAATCAGAATTCTTGTAGGAATTACCAGATGAATCTGATTAACTTCTTCCTGTTAAATTTACAAAATTTTCTGGTTAATAATATTAAACTCACCAGCACCAAGTCGTAAAATTTGTTCCATCTAATCTTAAAAGTCTGTTTAATATTCTGAATTCCAACACGATTATTGCATAAATTCAATTCAGATTATTGAATAAATTATTTTAAGTTCAGTTTGTTAGAAATTAAACTGATAAACAGTGACGCAAGAAGAGGCTGCAGCTCAAACACACACAATCAGAGAGCTAGCGTCCTCTTTCTGGCACTACTGCTCGTAAGAGAAAAAAAATATACTTTGGAGTTAATGTTAATACTAGTTCTTTACATACATGGCAAATGTTGAATACGAATTAAGTTAAAAGTGGCTCGCTGCCCAGCGGCAAGCAAAGAAATTAATGTAACAAGAAATTTTATAGATCCAACCAGAAAATACTAATCAAATCCTTAGTAAAATCTATTAAACGTTCTAGTTATAAAAAATCGAGTTATCATGATAACTAGAAATTCTTGTTTAATTTAACCAAAATGTCATTCATATACGTCTTATTGGTACAATCAAACAATTTTTCTCAGTGCAGCTGCGTCAGTTTCAAGAAAATTAGCTTTTTCTCTAATACTTGAAAAAAACTGAAATCGATCCTCTAAAATCAACTAATTGCACACGAAGCATGAATTTCTCTTGATTTTGTATCAAGTATAAATAAATCTCAAGAAATCGCTTTCGAGAATGAAACTGACTATCGTCCTGCGTTTGGCTTTTGTTAGCCCGCGAAATTTAAAAAAAATTGTGATTTACGTGAGGATCTTATTAATTTCTTAATTGTAAATTACTTGTCTCATCACGATTTTTAAGCGCGAATACGAGAATTTCTTTATCTTATTCAATAATCTGGGATGATCGGGAATATGTCCCGCGATAAAATCTATCAAATCTTTTCAGGCAAAGCCAACGCCCGCATGAGAGCGAGCTTTTGTTCAGGCTTATAATTATAGGTCTATCAATGCAAACGAATCGCGCTAACGCCGATTGTGCCATTCGTCAATTTCTTTTTTTTTAAATCGTTGATCCATTTGATACCGTGTCCGGTTTTGCGGTGAATCCGCTCGGCTGATGAACGGACGCGATCCGATCGAACGGCAGTTTTCGAATTTATGGAAACTCGCCGGTCCGGTCGCGCGCGAATGTACGATTAATGCGTTTAACCGAATCAATCACTTTATTAATTAATCCCGCCGCACGATCGACGCAAAGCTCGGCCATTAAATAAATCGAATCTGCCATTGTTGAAATCGTGGCTATAATTAAATTTGAATTTATCCTTACATCTCAAACTTTAAATTCATTATTTATATATTTAGAGAATTATTAGATGCATATTAGAAACTAAAAAATCCTCCGAGTTCTGTCTTATTAATCGTATGCAAATGTGTTTAATGGAATTTGATAAGTAGAATAGAAAAAAGTAAATATACGTAAATCTCTAATATAATTACATTAATCACTATGCTAATTATATTAATCACTATGCTAATCGCGGCCATAATTAAATTCACATTTATCCTTATACATCTCAAACTCTAAATTCAATATTTGTATTTAGAGAATAATCAAATATTAAACAATGCTTCGAATTGTCTCCATTTCTTCGTCAATTACATACAAATGTATCAATAGATTTAAATAATTAATAAAAAATATATTTAAATAAGAAATAAAAGAAAATTAATACGTGTAAGAGCTTCTTATTAATCGTTGTTCGAGTCGAAAAATTTAATTCACTGAAAATTATATCGGTTCTCACAGACACGCTTTCGCTTTGCAGTGTTAAGTCAAGTTGAGCCTCCCACGTGAATAAACCGGCATTGCAAGCGCCGTATTATCTTAAGTCCCGCATTGTCGTGGGCGTGAAAGAAGAGAAGCGAGGCTGAAAGCTGCGGCGAGAGTGCTGGAGACAGGACAAGGTGGTTGAGGAGCGAGGACGAACGAGACACGAAGGATTGCGGGAGGATGGAGATAGCGGGGCACTGATTGCACCGAGAAACTTATCTCCCCGCAGGACATCTCGCTGATCAACCGTCTCCCTCTGGTTTCCAGCCCCGTCCTCGCCACTTCCTCTCCCCCCCTCTCCCCCATTCCTCTCGTTTCCGCTTTAGGGTTTAGCGGCGGTGCCGCTTGGATCGCTCCGCCGCTAAACTTTCCCGTCCGTTAACGATATCGCCGCCAATGGCTGATTTAAATTTTTAATCGCGACTACATTATCCCAGATGGTGATTGGCGCCGTCCGCTCGAATCTCGTCGGTCGACAGTTTTCTTTTCCGTACGTCGCCGTTGCAAATTCAAAGTCGACGGGAAACAAATTAATTAGAGAGCGAATTGTGCGAGAGATTACTCGAGGATACAAACTAAATAGATTTTCTTTTTTTTTTTTTTTTTAAACTTGCTCGATTGTAAAGACGGATCTTGCTTGAAAATTGGTTTTTTCCTTTCGCCTTTCTTCGTCGCATTCAAATATTCCCAAGCTGTAATTTCCCACAGACGAGCGCGCGGATCATTATTCTTTTAATTATTTTGTTAAATTTCATCATTGCCATTTTAATGGATTTCCGCTGTAACTTCCTAGCCAGCGGGCACATGTATTATAGCATGTATTATTAAACTTTTAAGTAAATCCATTTACTCGGCGCGGATGCGTTTCCATGTCGCGATACGTTATAACTCGGCACGTTATTATGTAATATGATTTATTTAACGTAAATGGATGGCAACAAGCGGGACGAGAGATATACGGTGACTTTTGGCGTCATTGCGCGTCATATCTCGCATTCTTAGCGATCGACCTCGACAATGTGTTTTCGTTGAAATTCGAAGAATCGCCGATAATAGATATGGTATTGCCGCCGGGGGATAAGTTTTTACGATAAATTACAACTGTGATTTTCCAAAGTTTCCAATCCAGGAAAGAGAGATAAAGTTCCGGCTCCGATTTTATTTCTCGCAAATCTCGGAGAGATCTCTCTCCGCTCTTCATTATGATACCGCAATTTACGTTTGTTTTTGGATCGCGCTCGATAAAAATCTATTGCGAATATAAATTTACCATGCGACACTAGTGGACGAAACGCAAACTAAAAAATATGACCAAAAGGCGATTTAATATTGTTTAAATACGGCAATCAGTGTGTTTCTATGAAATAAAAGTGAATAACATTGAAAAGTGAAATACGTTGAGAAGAATAAACAAAAAAATGAAGACACAAGGAAAATAAATAAATTTTTTCACGACTTTTTACTGCACTGATAATTAAGCTAGAATTTATTACATTCTGGCCTTCAATCATATTTCTTGAAGAGGATGTAGCATTGGTATAGCTACACAAAATATCTAAACGCAGGGACAACATTTGCGTTTCCTTAAGGACGTTCGGGCGTTAAGCTTATTATTAGATAAAAATTCAAATGTTTGATATTTAGCAAGAATAATAACATTATGATCGCTCTTACAAAATTCGTGGTATGTTATCGGTCATTAAAAAAAGTTATTAACGATGAAAAATCTTTTTTTTAACATAGGCTGTTACGAAAAACCATAACTTTTTATGTTTCAAATTTATGAAAAAAATATTATTAAAATAGATATGATGACAAATAATGTTTTGAAATATCCTTTGAAATATCCTTTGAATCATATACATAATAATATTATCATAAAAAAGGTGTTATCGTACGTTTGAATTATTTATTAACAATTATAATTAGTACTACTACTGTACTACTCGTCTACCTGACAGGTTAGAGAGGTTAGGTGCCGGTGATGAAACTGATAAATCACAAGTTTTTATTTTTTTAACACTTTGTAACTGATTATCTCGCCACAATTTTCGTTTTTGAGAAACAAATTTTCCCTTTAAAATTCCATGATTATTTATAACGTTGTAATAATTACTTTTATTATTCATGTCATTTTTATGTCAAATTAATTATTTTAGTTTTTTGCAATAATTAATCAACAAATAATTTTAATAAGTAAAAAACTTAATAAATTATTTTAGAATTATTGAAATATTTTTAAACAATTAACAAACTGTAAATAAAATTTGTAAATGATAGTCCTCATTTGACTCACGATTACCGCATGAACGTCCCTAACAATTTTTAAAACAGTATTCTTAAATGTCAAATCGCCCTTTGCGACAGCCATATTTGTTATGCGACACGAGCGCCCCTCTACCCGCGGTGGTAATTTTTTCCCCACTCTCGCGCAA